CTCTCTTAGGAGATCTATTGAACATGTTACAGGTCTCACATGTTAAAGCTGAACCCGGAGAATGACTATGGTGCTATTCCTCTGTCTACCAAAATACCCGTTGTCGCTGAGTTTTACAATGAGATTGTCTTACCTGACCCTTTCGAGAGTTTCCTCGCCCGTGTGCATAATCACCCGGCTGTACACATCTCTAAGCTCACAGATGGATTCAACATGCTTCCTCCAGGTGCATTCTTGTTCTGTTGTCTTGTTGTGAAGCAATCGTTACTGTTGAGGCGTGATATTTATCGCACTGTAATGTTGCAGGAGTCACTGAAACTTATTATGAGATGAAAAAAGGAGACACCAAGGATCATCCGCTTAGCCAATGGTTTTTGAAGTTTTCAGAAGCCGAAGAGCGGCTAAATATTTCTGCAGCTCGTCAAAAGGTTTCTGCAGCTCTCTAACCTTTCAGTATTTAGACTTGTTGAAAAGACCACAGTAGTTTTAAAGTGAATTTCTTATAGATGATACAGCCACATTTTGCTCTGCTCGAACTTAAACAGTAACTAGACTCGAGAGAGTGTGTGATTCTCTCCCGTTGTTTGGCTTTGTCTTGATTTTCTAGGATATGGTTATGTTGTTTTAGAAATGCTTATTATCTGATTGTATTTACTATGTAATAGGTACGAGCTGATATCACCGAGCTAAAAAGAAAATTTGATCACGGCAGATGGGCAACCTGAAGAACTTTAGGCGATGAATGTTAACAACGGATTGAAGTTTGCTCGGAATTTTTTTGTGATACGATTAGTATATGTCGATGGGGTGATCTTGGAAACCTTTTCTAACTGTTAGAACATGTAAAAAAAAAAGACCATTTATGGTCAATATGGTTGGATGTACTGACAAAGTACAAATGCATATATGCTTTTGCTCAATCTTGCTTGTGTCTCCCTCAAATCTTCTCTTCTCTTGTCCTGTGCGACTTTGTAACTACTCGTCGTTGGTGAATGTGTGAAAAAAACACAAGTTAAACTTAAACATTTCTAAATGGTTTGTTTGGATATATACATGATGTTGTCTAACATAGTATTCTAAAGGTAAAGCTCTGTATCTTTCATGCTTTCATTGTATATTAGCAGAGGATGCAGCGCAAGAAGCAAGCGAAGAGGATGAATTCTTCCCGAAACATGACTTCTGTTCTTGATCGTTTATATTGGCATTTGCATTTCAATAGAAGATGTGGGAATGCGTCGATTTTAGGCATTTGCAGACTTGTTAAGCTTTTAGTTA